ACTCTCGTCTTTTAATTTGTGAAGAAACGTGTGGGCAGAATAAAAAGAAAATATGACTTCACCGGTATACCGAAGACGCCTTTCACAGTGATAGTTAGCCTACCAGAACATGACCACACCGGAAATTATCGCGTGCACGCAACCGAAGAGATACATCGTTCGCACGTTAGTGGTATGTGTATCTGAAAAATGTGCAGCAGTCGAAATTTGAGAATAGTTGTATTTATTACAAGTATTATTCGCGTAAAAATTGCGAATAAGAAAAAGATAAAACAATTTAAAAATAGAAATACTTGGACGAATAAATTTCCAATAATCAAGGAAATGTTGTCTTGAAACTTTTCACTATTGTTTCCAAATGAAATTCAATGTTTTATTCAATTCAAGCAGACGTATATATGCAACATAGAAAGTTCGATAGAAATTTGATTGCAAACTTTCCATTACGTATGCAAAATTGCGGGAGAAGTTCCCAACTTCCGTTTATGGACATGCATAATCGAAAAGTTTGCGAGGATGGCATATTTTTCGAACTTAAAATCTTAGAAATTCAAATACTTACAATTCGAATACTTATACGAATTTATAATTATTTAAATTTCTAATCAACATGTTTTAATTCGTCATCTTTGCTGCTATATATCAATATTTGTTTATATTCATTTTAACGATAATAATTCATTTTATAGGTATAAACGTGTCTGATTATTTTGCTGGTACAAATTGGCGGGTGCATCCTCATTGGTTGTATTGCAAGTAAGTAAAGGTATTCCATTTTAAAGTAAGATTTTTAAAACGCTTAATTATATGCAATTTTATATCTATATTTTTACAATAAAATTTTAATGACACAGGTATCATTATGAGGATGAACGATCGTTCAACTCCTCGGAAGCGCAGCTTTTGCACTTTCTAGAACGAACCCGCCAACCGCGCTGGAAGTGGAATGATATGAAACAACCCTCCCAGCCACCGGAATATTCAGCTACGAATTCCGGTAATGAAACTCATCGCAAATCGAAACGTAAGTATCCGACGTATCGATCCTATTGCTATACTAATAATTTGAAACAACGGCTGACGTATACTTTCATTTGGACAGCTACACCATACAAAATAGACAAAGATTCGTATTATTGCGATAGGGATCTTCTATTGAGTTTAGTGTTCGATGCGAAGGTAACCCAGTGGTTTGCGAACCTCAACATCACGCGCGAAGAGAAAGCGTGAGTATTGAATTTATTATTAAATTAAAATATATATAAAATACATCTCTTATGATTGAAATACACATTATCATTGTATTCTGAGAATGTTAAATTTAGGATATAATTTTTTTCTCTTCGTGTTAAAAATTGTTAAAAAAAGATTCGTACGATAAATCTAATCTAAAAATATGTACACATATGCTCGGTGAACCCGTTTTCGGTGCCCTCTATACTTTTACGTTTTCTGCACAATTTTTATCTCTTTTCTTTCTTTTTATGTTTTTCCTTCTGTCAAAATCTTAATCAAAAATCTTCTATCTTTATTTCTTTCCTTACTAATGAACATTGACTAACTACTGACCACTTTGACGTCATGCAGACCTTTAGCTAGGCTGATGAATCTGCTGCCCAGGTAACGTTCATCATAAACGTACGTTAGGTTTTTAGAAATTAACCTGTTGACTACAGTATTTTACTGCTGTGTTATCTGTATCTTTGTTTTGCATTTTGTACTTTTTATTTATTCTCCATTTATTCTTTTTTTAATGTTAATTAGTTTATCATCTCTCTTATCGTAAAGAACATATATTTTTTTTTATGTATTCTATATTTTTTTTCTTAGATTTTTCATAGCACTTTGCGTTTTATTTTTCTGTTATTCCTTGTACAAAATCTAATTAAAAAAAAAAAAAGGAAGATGGAAGATGAAAGTCGTCTTTCAGGATTGGAACGTTGAAGAAGAAAAACAGTTTGCCAACTCAAAAATTGAAGAATTATTTTTATGAATTCGATTTATATCATGTAGTAATTATAATATACTTGTTTCTTATGATTATAATACACATTGTCATATTGTCATAATTTTTTATAACATATAGTAAATATTAAATTCAAATATATATATATATATATATACATATATAAAAGCAAAATATTACTTTACGTGAGTAATCAATAGTAATATGATTTTGCAGTATTTTAGAAAATAAAGAAAAAGATTTAAAAAAAAAAAAATTGTCTTTTCCACGTGTTTAATACTATTTTTCTTGTAGGAAAACGTTTCAACAACGTTTCGGTGTCACACTCGCTTTCATGGCTACTCATAGTGGTTTGACAAGATGGCAAGATTTCTTGTTAGACGAAGAAGGTGTTATTCCTGATGATCACTTCAGTAAAATGTATCCAAGAGCCATTGATGAAGTATGGTACAAACGTGCCGTGGAACAGTATTACGTGCAACCAGAAAGTTTTGTTTTTTCCGTGCCAATCGATGAGGAGGGTGCAGATAACACCACCCTTGTCACTGCTAGTCGTGCCATTTTTATTGGTAAATAATCGTATTGATAATAAAAATATATAAAAATAGAGATAAAAAAAATTGTAAAGAATCTGAAAAAAAATTAGAAAACATAATAAAAAGATAAATCGTACAAAGATTAAAAAATCAATTATTATTTTAGATACTGAAAGAGCAAAGGCGCCAGTGGCGGTTGTAGGTTTTCAATTTCAACACACCGCTCTTCAGGGTCTCTTCCAGAACATTACGTTCAGTTGCGAGGGTTCAGGGAAATGTCACACGCATTGTGGTGCAGATAATTGGGCCTGCTATTTGATTGATAATAATGGATATGTAATCGCAGCCAAAGACAAATCTGACGCAGGAAAATTCTTTGGTGAACTGAGAGGACCAATCATGTCTAGCTTAGTAAAAGAAGGTGTTTTCGAAAGGATCAGAATATTCGATTATCAAGCAGTTTGTTTCAAGAGTACGCAAACTAGTAATGATGGAAATATTTTATTGGCGGTAAGAATACTTTGTTTATTAATTCTGTTCATAAAATTAAAATTTAGAAATTAAGCATTAAAAATATTAATTTTTTAATAAATCAATTGATCGCATAGCCGTGGAAACACGCGCAAAAGATGATTTCGTGGCTTGTTGGGCAAGCAGTCTGGGCTTGGGCCAAAGCTGGAATTTGGGAATCCGAGTACGCGTATGCTTATCCAAACGAGGATGAAGGTATCCATGAAGAATATCAAGATAATGAAGAGAAACCACCAGTTGATGCAAAAGATGAGAAATTATTCGATCAAAAAGTTTTGATCAATCGAACTAGACCGGAAGCTTGTGATCAAGAGGTAAATTTTATGATATATCAACTACGTTATAATATATATTATTTTTTTTTTTTAATTTTTTATTCTATTCAAATTATATTATCTTTCTTTTAATTCTTTTAGGTATATTTGTATTTACGAAATGCATCTTTCGACATGTTCGACATAGATTCAGACGTAAAAAAAGATTGTATGAGGCCATATATCGTTCAACCGGTAAATTATAGCAACATGCTTCTTCTAGTCGTTAACACAGCCTGCACAGAGACAACTATACCTCCTTTGAGCGTCATCCCAGAAGAAATAATTTATGAAAATAACTCGCTAGTATGTCAGAAAGCACTCATTTCCTTAAAACGGAAGAGACCTCAATCGTGTATTCGCAGTCATTCGAGAGAGAGCGAGATCAAAGATCTTTGCGGTTTAGCTTCGAATGTGACACCAAATATCTACCTCTTTTTTCTTTTGTCGATAACCTGTTCTCTAATTCAACGAATTGCCCTTGGTCAATATTAATTTTTTTATTAAGATGATATATTGCTTATCGATTTAAAATCGATGATAAAAAATAAGAGATGATTAATTAAATTTCAAAAATGCTGCTAATTTAATTTTTTTAACGAAAAGATTATCTTCATGATCGTTCATATTATACAATATATAGATTACCATTAAAACATTTTTCGGGAGGATTGCGAATATTTACCTTTGCCAAATTTCGTTATAAGTTATCAGTAAAAAAAACAATTCCTTATGAATCAATTCTTTTTTGTTTTTATCATGATTATCATGATTCCAAGATGTTCTAATATTTATGCTAATTTATAGTAATGTTGTAATAAGGAGAAGTTCTCCGAGTCCTGGTGCTGTCTCCTCAGATGGTACTTTGACGATAGTGCAGGCAGGGTCTGTACTTATATTAATTGGTCCAATCATCAATGTACCTCGAGGATTAAACTATGTCACGGGATCAGGGTTAACGATATTTAAATAGGATGTATACCCGTGAATCGGTGCCGAACTAGTCCTAAAGAACAACCTTACTGCCCGAAATGCAATGCGATGTCTATTTCATATACGTTCCTGCTCTATTTTTTTGTTTTTCAATTACAATTTCATTCAACTACTTAATTCGTTACTTTGATGATTTAGATTATAACAGAAAATATTGAACTATAGGAGATCGGTTAGAGTATCATTAATCACTATGCATCATTTTTAATTTAAACAAATTTCCCGAAAATTTTATAGTATTACTTTTATTCCAAAATCTAAAAGAAAATAACATGAAAAAAATAATCAAAACTTTATAAATTCACATTCATCTAAAGAAATAAGAAGAGGTAATCAAAAAATATGCTTTTTTGACAAAAAAAAAATATTGAACAAAAAGATATAAAATACTGTTCGTTCAAATATTACTAGTTGTTTTACAAACTATACATTCGACCAATCTATATGTATGTAGATGGAAAATTCTAGAGCGACCAGAATATATATGACATATTTAAGATCTAGATTTAATGTGATACAAAAGAGGAAGTTAATTCGCTCAAGAAATGTTCGTAGGTGTAGGATGTACCTACATCGTTATACTTACGTCTTATAGGATCGATTGAAGGAAGTTGCGATGATAAAATTTACCACAAATTTAATTCATCTCAGTCGCTAATGTTATTTTTTGGAGTATTCAAGTAGATAAGATTTTATAGGAAATTATATATCAGAGCAGGGTCGTATATAAAAATCACACGTTCATAACACTATGAGATACATTCACATACACATATACATATTTTGCGCTTTGTACATTAACCGATGTAAAACGTGTCGTTTGATATTTATAGAGATTACGAATATTAATTTTGTATATTAATGTATTATACGAGAGTTACAAGGATGTGTGCCTTTGGACACGCGGTTATGAAACAAAATGAAACAAAATGAAAAAAAAAATAACAAAAATATTGTTGTATGTTTTTCAAATAAATAACTGAACTCTCTACTTCACTAGCTCTCTGCTTCCTTAAAGCGAAACAGAAAGGATTTAATAATAAGAGATGTGGCGAGTTTCCATCCGAAAAACGAATGATGTTACTTGTATTACACAGAGTTTATTACAATTTGCTATGTACAATGGCTTGCCTATATAAAATGAAGATCATTTCTTATCAAAATGATAAATATTGAATTATTATTTTAATTGATTTAACATATCCTCTATAATCTCCAGCGTAATCTTTGATTGCATATTTTTATAAAGCCTATCCTCTAGTATTTCCAGAGCTGTTCCATTTTTCATGAATTCTTTCAAATTATGTATTGTACCATTTAGAATCCTATGATCCGTAACCCGATCTTGATTAAAATTATATGTTCTAATTTTCTCATTTCTCAATCTTTTTCCTATTTGTTTCTTACGTATTTGATTAATGAATGAAACTTGTTTATTTAATTCTTCCTGGTATAACATACTTTTTAATTTTGTTAATGCTAATTGCTTGTTTTTTATTTGAGATCTATTTGTCTGACAAGTCACAACTATACCAGTAGGTATATGAGTTATTCTAATTGCAGAATCTGTAGTATTTACATGTTGACCTCCTGCTCCAGATGCTTTTTTTGATTCTATTATCAAATCTTTTTCTTCTACCTTAATATCTACATCTTTAGGTTCTGGTAAGATTGTTACAACGGCTGTACTAGTATGTAAACGACCAGACTTTTCTGTTGCAGGAATTCTTTGTACTCTATGTACACCACTTTCATATTTTAATTTTTTGAATGCATTATTATCAGATATAAGCAGAGTAGCTTTCCTTAATCCATTTATTTCACTATTTAATATTTCTAATATTTCATAGTTAAATTCTATATGATTAAAATAGCTAATATACATATCTAATAAATCTCTAGCAAACAACATAGCTTCTTGACCACCTACGCCTGGCACTATTTCCATAATAATATTGTCATAATGTTCTACATCTATATATTTTATAATAATATTTAAAATTTGTTCATCAATTTCTAACAATTGTTGCCTATATATTAATTCTTCCTCTTTTGCAAGATTCTTTAGTTCTTTGTTGTCTTTTACTAAAACATAAATTATATATTTTATTAAATATAATACTAAGAAAAAGAATTTTTAATTTATAAACATATTAAAAGTATATATAATAATAAATAAAAATATAATACTTACTAAGATCATTTAAACTTTTTATATTCTTAATTATTTTACTTTTTTCATTCAATAATGGTGGAATTTCAGATAATTTAAGAATTTCAGAAATATTTCCTTTTCTTTCATTCTCATTTTGATATGCGTTCATAAGAAAATTTAAATATTTTTTAATATTTGCATTAGTTATAGATAAATTACTTTTTGAATTAAATAAATTATATATAACTGAAACTTGCTTATTGAGATTAAAAAATAATGGATAATCTAATTCAAATAATTTACTTCTACATATAAAATTACCATAATATTGACAAATATTAAAAGTGTATTTTTTCATAAAAAATAACATGTTTTATTACAAAATTTTATTACAATAAAAAATTATGTTTTGCAAAATTTAATATCATTATAACAAAAATACAACCTCCTTTCTTATAATTATTTTTACAACTGAAGAGAGCGACAAATTTGCTATCAAAAACATGTACTATCAGTGCAGGAAACATTAAAAAAGTATAAACTGTTATATTTAAAAATGATATATATCTTTAAAATAAATCTAAATTATCTAATTTAAAATATAGGACTTTATAATTACATGAAAAGTTAATATTCTCATAAAATTGGATATTAAAAAATGACATATATTGAATATAAAAAAATGAAATATTTAATTGAGAATGATGTCTTAATTTTTCTCTGTTGGTAACAGTAGATTGTGCCTCCATTTCGATAATTTTTACAATCTTGATTCAATTATGTTTATTCAGTTCCATACAATATTAAAAAACATCATACGTATATACTTCTTTTTCTAACTTTCTAATATTTATAATTGAAATCAAAAACGTAATTTATTTTAAAAAGACATCTACTAGAGATATGCATGCAATATTATATGAAATTCTTTAATTCTATATTATCTTAATATCATTATTATATATGATTGTTATTTACTTTAACTAATTTATACATTTATATACATATGTAGCATGCGTAAAAAACTAGATTGAAAAGTGTGTCGTATCAATTATATCGATTTTCTAATAAGTATATACAATTCACTTCTAATATTTCTTTCTTTTCTATGTAACACTATAATATAAATAATAACTATTACAAAAAACATAATATTCATAAAAATGTATTAATATTATTACCATTTATACATATATCTTAAAAAAAATTTATTGTTATTTATTATAAGTATTAAATAAGTGTATTCAAATTTCTTGTTGCAATCATCTTCCTTATATACATAATATGAACGAATGTGTTTAAATTAAAATAACAACAACTTGAAGTACAAGTTTATTAATTATAAGTATAAAAATGCCTGCTGCGCTTAGCAAGCTTTTTTCTTTATTGTAATTATTATTTCATCAAATAATGAATTATAATGTTATATTATTAAAAGAAATAAGATATATAAAGAATAATATTATATTTTAATTTCTATTTTATTTTTTATACAATTTTATCATTAACGATCAGTAAAACTCGCAAAACTTATCGTTTAAAAGATCGATAATGTCCTTCCCGTGATGGAGGATAAACGTATAGCGAACGTTGAAATGAAAAATGTAATATAGCGGATATAATTATAAACAATTATATCTCATATGATATAAAAAGTTAAACATGTAAGTATAAATTTATGAATATATTGTTACATGTTTATTAGTTCTAATGAAGGATTACAATGAATTAATATAAGAGATATAGATGTAGAACGAGGCTAGTGGTAGTTTCACAAAATATAATCGAAGGTAATTCAAAATGTTACCCAATTCAAAGTATGTAGGTAGCTCTGATATTCAGAACGAATGCGCCAAGCGTACCGCACAAGTGAGATAGCAAACAACAGAGAAAGATACGTACGGTAGACCAGTATAGAGCGGCACGAACAGCTACAATTGAGAATACTATTTTTCATTAAAACAAACACTACGCAAATTTCGAAAATAAGCGCTCGCTAAGAAAAGGTAAGTTGTAAAATATTCAATGATTTATTAGAAATATATAATACTAAATAATAACTTGTTAGTTATCTATTAACGTGGCCGCAATGGAAATTGATTTTAATGTATTTATGTGTAGGCTTTATAATATTATAACGAATCATGGAAACTTGCGAAAACCGATCACAAGAGAAAGTACAAGAAGGAGGTAATATTAATTTATATTTGCAATTTTTTTATATTGTTATTCGCATAATTTTTATTATATAACATAAACATTATTTATAATAAAATTATAATTATTCAGTAACCTTCTAAAGTTTTTGAAATGATTCCGACTGTTGATCGTTGAGATTCTATTACCTGACATCACACACATTCAAAAAGTTTTTAATATATATCTTACAGGATTACAAAATCAATAAAATCATTAATGAAACGCGTAAAGAAAATTTATTTAATTAATCATATCGTTATAATAATGATAAATTTTATATATTTATATAATCTATTTATGAATATCAAATATATGAAGATTAAATATAATATTAAAAAATATAATATATCATTTTTTGAAATAAAATATTATTGTTTTATTTTAATAATTATATTATAATAAATATATTTTATTAAAAATAATATAATATATATTTAAATAAAATAAAATTTAATTTTTTAATTTTTTAAGTTTATTTAATTTTTAATATATTTATAATTATATTTAATATATTATAATTAAAAATAAATAATATAATATAATTATTAATATAAATATTAATAAATTTTATCAAATGTAATAAATAAGAAATTTTATTTTATAAAATTTAAAATAAAAATTTGTTTTTCAGAATATGGGTTTTTTTGGCAAGATTATCTTGATGCTACAAATAGTGTTGAAGTACCACAAATTATGTTTCCACATGTTGAATTGACACTTCAAAGTGGTATTGAAATTGGTATGTCTCTTGAAGTGCCAATTCCAAAAAAAGAAAATGAAGAAAACATTAATTACTGGGTAGCTTCTATTGTCATGGCATGTGGACCTTTATTAAGATTACGTTATTTTGGTGGAGATGATAGATCATTAGAATTTTGGTTCAACCTCACTAAAGAAGCTGCTCATGAACTTGGATGGTGTATAAAAAATAATAAAAAATTAGAACCACCTGATATTATTCGTCAAAGATCATCAGATTGTATAGAAAAATTGTCTGAATTTTTAAAAACAGCCCGGAGCATTCCATCAGAAATGTTATCAGGGGTTAGTTAAAAAATTATAAAAAAAATTATATAAAAATTATAAAAAAATTTTATAAAAAAATTATAATTAATTTTATATTTTTTATATATTATTTTTGTTTAGGATGGTTTAAGCATGACAGAAAGAATTAAACAAGGCATGAAAGTTGAAGTTAGTGATATATTACATCCATACAAATTATGGGTAGCCACAGTAAGTAATAATAAGTTTTATGTTATATATGTTATATTATATAAATATGATATATTATTATATATATAATGTATATTATTCATAATATGTATGTATATTATTCATAATTATTATCTCTTAATTAATTTTCTTAATTAATACTTCTTTAGATCATAGAAAATGTAGGAGGACGACTTTTGTTAAGATATGATACTCCTGGTTCTTCACGTAAAGATTTTTGGATGTTTTGTACATCAGAACATTTGCATCCTTATGGATTTACATCTAAATCTGATTCTACCTGGTTTTTGGAACCACCAAGTTCTATAGTAGAAACACATACATATGAAGAATGGAAAGATTTATTAGAATCTACACCAAAAAATTATGATCTTCCAGAAGAATTATTTCATAATACTATAAATCATCCTAAACATGAATTTAAAGTTGGCATGAAATTAGAAGCATTAAGTCCAATTGATCAGATAAAAATATGTCCAGCCACTATTATAAAAGTATTTGATGACATTTATTTTCTTGTTCATATTGATACATATGATGAATTATCTAAAGGAATGGATATTGAAGCATGTATGTACAATAGTACAGAGAAAAATACTTGGCTTTGTACAGCAGGACATCCATATATATTTCCAATTGGATGGGCAAAAAAACATAATATCAAGTAAGCTTTTGTTTTTTATATTATGTAACATAACAAAAATTTAAAAAAAACAATTTACCAAATTAATATTCCATTATAAATATAAAAAAATTAAAAATATTAAACAATAATGAAAAATGTAAAATAATATAATAATAATAATAAAAAAATTATATTCTAAGTCATTTGTTTTAAATAACAAAAGTTTATTTTTTATTTATTATAATTTTTTATAATTGATTATAATTAATTGTTTTCAAACTTTGAGGCTTACAATTTACACATTTTAATATTTTGCTTTTTAGAATTGTACATCCAAATGGTTGGACTCCGAAGGAAGATGAATTTGATTGGGACGAATATTTAAAAGATACCCAAGCAATTGCTGCAGAAGAAAAATTGTTTTCAGAAAGACAAAGTGCTACCGATGTTGGCTTTGAATGTGGCATGCGATTAGAAGCAGTTGATCCAGAACGTGAAAATGTGATATGTGCTGCACATATTACAAAAATTGTTGACAATCTTTTATGGTTAAAATTAGATAATTATGAAAATACAAGACCAGAACATATTGTTGATATGTATTCCTTACAAATATTTCCTGTTGGATGGTGTGAATCTAATCATTATCCATTAAAACCACCAAAAGACTATATGGAAATTTGTAAACAGTTACAAATGCCTTTAAAAGAAGAAAAAAAAACTAATGTTCTAGATATACCAATATCTGAGCCACGTTCTTCGCTATGGTGCCCAAAAATATATTTTAATTATCGTTGTTTCACGGGTCCCATGATTTCTAAAGGAAAATTAGCAACTTTACCGAAAGCAGTAGGACCTGGTCCTGTAATTTTAGTTATGAGAGAAGTTTTATCAATGATCGTATCTGTAGGATATAGAAGCGCACGGATATTAAAGGTACTTCAATGTGATTCAAAACCAGATCCAGGATATCATTTAGAAGTTCTAAAAGCTAAACATAAAAACAATACATATCGTGCGAGCGTCGCTGTAGTTACATCCGGAGATATGGTGGCTGATTTTTGTAAAAATATCTGCAAAAAATTAATGGTATGTCCAAATTTATTTGGTCCCTTATATGTACCTGAAAATGAATGTCCTGATAAATGTCATAAAACATCAAAAGCCAAATTCAGTAAGTATCATTTCTACTATATTAGTAGTATATTAGTAATAATTTTATTTCTATCGTTTTATTTATATTAAATAATTTTTTAGCAGCATCTGTAGGTACTGGACGAAGAGGTAAACCAAAAGGATACACGAGTATTATGGTGCAAAAACCAAAACCGTGGGGTGGCAGACGAAAAAGAAGACGTGGAAGATGGGCAAATAGAGAAAAAGAGACTCATGAAGATTTCGAGCAAGAAGATGAAATGCCATTTATGTCTTTAGATTTAGCAAAACATGTATCAGGGATTGAAGAAACACTCGATGGAAGACCACCACTTTCTGAAATAGATATTATGATTCAGAAAGGTTTAGAGAAAGGTGAAAAATCAGATGAATTTAAAACTGAACCTCCATCGAGCAATGCATCAGATGATTCAGGAAGTTCCTTTAATGATAATAGGAAAACAAAAGATGGAGGAAGTCCTAATAGTTTAAATAGTAAACAACATTCATCGAAATTTAGTCAAAGTTCTACTGTTACAAGAGCAAGTAAAAGAGAACGAGATTGGGATACGAGTATTGAATCTGATGGAACAGATGGAGAATCAGAATATGTGAGAATGCAAAAAAAACAAAGGCGACCAAAAACGCGGAAACTTGATTCGAATCCCCTATTTTGGAGTGTGGACGATGTTTTTAGGTACTTAAGAAAAACGAATGATTGCAAAGATATCGCATATCGAGTAAAACAAGAGGTAATGTATGTAAAAATGTAACACGAAGTACTAGAAATATATCTTACTAATTTATTTTCTATTTCTTGTAGGAAATTGATGGATTAGCATTTTTACTATTAAATTTGCCATCTCTTACGCAACATATGAAATTGCGAACAAGTTTAGCTATGAAACTTTGTCGTCATGTTGAACAAGTTAAAGTTACGTTCTTTTTACGACATATAAATGAAGTAGAACCAGAACAATATCAAATTGTATAATTTCAATAATTAAAAATGCAATTTATTATATTATTTATATAGTGTAATATAGTGTATCATGAAAAGACAAATAATGTCGAGATATCTATTGTATAAATGACAAAATGATTTTTAATTTATATGAATATGCAAGACTGTATTACTTTTAAATAGATATACAATGTATTTAATTACGTCTTTGTACATTTAAATTATTTTTGTTATAACATATTTTTTAATGGAAAATTAAATTTTATTAATTAAATTAACTAATTAAAAATATTTCTAAAATTAAATTTGTTTCTCATTTTTTGAATTGTAAAAACATGTGTAAAAAATCAAAATCACGAATTCTCTTCAATCATTAATTTTGCAGTTATTTCTACAAATTATAAAACTTTTATTTTGTAAATTGACAATAAAGTAATAAATTTACAATTACAAGAAAATATACTTTAATGCAATGACCTAAAATATACATTTGAGATTGTAGGTTTCATGTAACTCAATCTAAATTTGTGACAATGCTATTACATGTTCTATAGACCAGTTTTTGATGCTTTGCCAAATTACTTACGCCACGAATAAAATACCAAACAAGTATTCCAAATGAATTAAAAAATATTAAATTTATCATTTTATTCTCTTCCCTTTCGATAATACATATTATATACATATCTTTATATTATTATATATTATATTATTATATATATATATATATACCATATATATAGAAAATATATTTTGATTTATTACTATTTTTCTTTGTTTTTTATTGTTGAAATAAAATTTTTTTAGTATCTTAAAAAAATTTTTTCGATTTTCAAATATATTTTATGATAAACATTATATAACTTTTGATATATACAGAAAACATAATAAACGAAATGAGTTTAAGAATAATAAACGAAATATAATATTCAGAAATATCAATTTATTTGATTCAATAAAACATATTCTCTTTATATACAATTTAACATTTATCAAAAATAATGATGTAAAGCATAAATATTAAAAAAATTTTATAAAAAATTTATAAACAACACTCATTGTTTCTCTATATATGGTCTGAATTAATATGAAGATCGAATATATTCATACACTAATTTTTAATATAATTTATATTCAAAAATAATAATTTATACATTTTGCAAAATAATAATAAAGATTATTAATTTTACCGAATATTCATATAACTTATAGCATATGGATTGATTTATATCTTTAATTAAATTTATCATTTTATTCTCTTTCCCTTTCGATAATACATATTATATACATATCTTTATATTATTATATATTATATTATTATATATATATATATATACCATATATATAGAAAATATATTTTGATTTATTACTATTTTTCTTTGTTTTTTATTGTTGAAATAAAATTTTTTTAGTATCTTAAAAAAATTTTTTCGATTTTCAAATATATTTTATGATAAACATTATATAACTTTTGATATATACAGAAAACATAATAAACGAAATGAGTTTAAGAATAATAAACGAAATATAATATTCAGAAATATCAATTTATTTGATTCAATAAAACATATTCTCTTTATATACAATTTAACATTTATCAAAAATAATGATGTAAAGCATAAATATTAAAAAAATTTATAAAAAAATTTATAAACAACACTCATTGTTTCTCTATATATGGTCTGAATTAATATGAAGATCGAATATATTCATACACTAATTTTTAATATAATTTATATTCAAAAATAATAATTTATACATTTTGCAAAATAATAATAAAGATTATTAATTTTACCGAATATTCATATAACTTATAGCATATGGATTGATTTATATCTTTAATCATATCGTCTGTATAATTAAAGTTTAAATTTATTTCTTCAAGCATTATTTCTTATCATAAAAAAAATTCTTAATCAATTTTTCAACTATATCAGAGATATCTTATTATGATATTTATAATATATATATAAATATTTAAATATTAAAATATATCATTTCGACATAAAATCTTTATGTCTATTATGTTATTTTCACTATTAATATAATTGTTGATATAATATTAAAATTTATTTTGATTAAATATTAATCATAAAACATTCATTAATTTCTTTCATATATATTATTTGCAAATGATATATAGATATAAAATGAATTTTTAATATTATATTTTATAATATAATATGTTGTATTTTATAATATAATGCTTATGCAAAAAAGAAATTTCAGAGTTCATGTTACATGAATTGGCTATCCCCATTTAATACGCACCAATTTTAAAATATATCACTTCCCCTTTTTGCAAAGTATACACAACTGTACTTTAGAATCCTATACATAGATTTACATTTACTTAGAAGACGCGCCTTTTTTAAATCTAGCGCGATAGATATCTTCGATTTACCTCGACCATTATTGGTTAAGGAACACTCAATCGATAAAGGAATACTCACATTGTAGATAGATTCAATCAATGAAATATAAAAACTTCTTAAGAAAGAATAAATATTTAATATTATATCCAATAAAGCAGTATTAATAAAAAAATCTAATGAAAGATTATTCCATACTATTAATATCAACAAGCAGTGATCTTAAAAAATGTCAACTTTTTTCATAGAATTTTCTATGTGAATGGTTCATAAAGTTTAGTGAAACATAATAGTGTGAATCAGTGTGACCAGGGCACTGAGTGGGGATTGTCTGCAATACATGCAACGTATACATCTACATTAGTATACAGTACCGTACGGTGCGTTACGTGTCGAGTCAGTGGTTTTTCGATGATGCCTTAGTGATGGAATTTTAATATTCAAACGCGTTCTAAAACATTAAAATAGGTGAGATATTTATTAATGTGATAAATGAATAATTTTTTAATGATATAAATAAAGATATCGACTAAAACCTATAAAACGAGCAAACGAAGCGTCGGCGATCAATGTTGGTTCGCGGGTGTGCCCGTTTGCCCAGCCCTGTGTGTTCCTTTTTCTCTTTAGTATCCTATGGAAAATCTGTTTTTTAATTAGTGCACAATTGATATATAGCTTCGATAAATATTATATAAATGAAGTAAATATGTCGTAAAAAAAGATATATGAATAAAATGGTGATAAAATTTCTATCAACGATGTTATGATTTCGAAGGACAACTACAGTGAGATCATTGTAACACCATCACCTGTTCCGATGATTGTGCGCAATCCTAAAATTCGAGTATATATACTTATCCTTTTTTATATAACTTTGTTAAAAAAAAATAGATTTTATTTATTATTTTTAAAAACTTGTTTAATATTATTTAATATTAGCCGATCTGTTATCTAATTTTTTTATATTATTTTTTGCTGCGATGAGCACGCCCATTTTTTACATTTCCATTATACATCATGGAATTTAAAAATTTTATTTAATTCATATATTTAAAAAAAAATCATTTATATAATTTTATATATTCATTCTGATATTTCTGTACACGATTCATACGTGCGTGTCTATATATATATATAAAGTGATTCAAATGATATTTAATCCAGTGTTATACCAAAAAAAAATCCCTTATGAATGCAAATAGGGTTTGCAAAGACTGAAATGATGATTTCAATCGTTGGATTCGTTTGAATCATGAAGATTGATATAAATGAATCTATAGAATATTTGAATTTATAATTTATATTCTTTAAAAGAAACTTAAAATGAACGTGAGATTAAAAATCATTCGAATTTTTATTAATTTTATTTTGTTTTTTTTGAAAATTTTGTATATTTAAAGAATTTAAAAAATCTTTTATTTCTAGATAAAAAAAAAAGTACCGGCCGACCATGAAGTTCATCCTGTGTATTATTTCAACACTGGTACTGCAAGCATCAGCTTTAAGTGAGTGCAATTCCGTCATTACGTTTTATCGGTCACAATAAATTCGAAGTATATAATACTTATTATATATAATCAATCAGTTTTTATGATAACAATTTATGATTTTTAATTATAGTCTATAGCCTGGATGTTATAGGAGGTGAAAACTGTTACAAATGTCAAATGCAGCTAGTTATTTTTTATAGGACAAATAGTTCTTTTGATTAAAAAATTTTGTATATCAATAGATATTATGAAAAATATATATTTTGCTTTTATTTGCTTCTGTAACATATTTTACATTGAGTCAATTATGCTTAATGTAATTATAATATATTAAATTCAAAGATTATATTATTATAAGAAAATATTTTAATTCATTATTTTTTATTGCATTACAATTTTTTTCTTGATTTTATTTAGTAACTATAAAAATAGTTTTATTAATTTTGTTTTAGTTTAAATTATTATGCAATTGTATTTTAATAAAAAATTTATTTTATTATTGTAGCAAATATTTTTATATTCATATCAAAAAATCATTTCATAATATGTAACAATAATTTATGATTTGTATTTTTCATTAGTCCAATCTCCACCACGGATATCTAAACAACCCCCGACAGATGAACAGTTATTTCAGGTGGCTCAAGCGAAAATTAATGAGAATGATAAACCATTTTTAATTGAATGTGAAGCTGAAGGAGAGCCTGCTCCAAGGTATAAAATATTTATTATTTCATAAAATATTATTTTAAAAATATAAAAAATGATTACTTGCAAAATTGATTTAAATTTTTAAAATTTAAAAAAAATTTTTAATTTTTACTATTTTTAAAAAAAGTAAAGGTAAAAAAGTAAGAAATTAAATATTCAGTAATTTCAGAATCATATTTTTTAAGATTTGATTCATATAGTTTCATTGCACTTACATTTAAGTACACTATCTCTGTTCTGCAAAGAAGCCTGAGTAACTGGTCTTAATTACTAGGATGACCTCATAGTCTTAGGGGGTATAAAGTTACAAGTACCAATAAAGATACCTAACTTGTGGTGTGAATTGTAAATATATAGGAGTGGTCTAACAGTATACTTTGAATAAAAATAGAAAATATATCATTACTTATATATGTATAATTATATTACAATTATTTTTATGTAGTATTATATTTTATTTATTTTTATATTTCCATGATCAATATAGTATTATTTCCATGAAAATTAATTAATTAAATAAAATTAATTTATTAAAATAATCTAAATAATATTTTTATTATTAACAAATAAAAAATATATTGTTCAAAACATTGTAATAATATAAATATAAATTTTATTTAATAATAAAAATATATAAATTATTATTTTTTATAATATTAATTTTATTCAGGTATCGATGGATTAAGAATGGAAAAAATTTTGAATGGCCAGCATATGATGATCGCATATCCCAACAACCTGGCAGAGGTACATTGGTAATCTCAAGACCACGAGATGAAGACTTGGGTCAATATCAATGCTTTGCAGAAAATGAATGGGGAATTGCAACGTCTAATTCAGTTTTTGTTAGAAAGGCTGAATTAAATTCATTTAAAGATCAAAACCCTATAAGTTTAGATGCAAATGAAGGACAACCATTTAAATTAACTTGTCAACCACCAGATGGTTTTCCAAAGCCAAATGTATATTGGTTAATCCAAGATACTGCTGGAGGTATCAAATCAATTAATAATTCACGAATGACGTTAGATCCTGAAGGAAATCTTTGGTTTAGCAACGTTACAAGAAACGATGCTTCTGATGATTTTTATTATGCATGTGCAGCTACATCTGTATTCAGAAATGAATATAAATTAGGAAATAGAGTTTTATTAAATGTTATTTCTTCGGGAATATCTGCCAGTCAAAATAAGCATGATCCTGTCAAACAATACGTCAGTAGGAAAAATGAAGTTGCTTTACGCGGTAAAAAAATTGAATTATATTGTATATATGGCGGAACACCACTGCCACAAATAGTATGGAGTAAAAATGGTGAAGTAATTAGAACTAATGATAGAATAATGCAAGGAAATTATGGTAAATCTTTGATAATTAAACATGTTAATTTTAAAGATGAAGGAACATATACTTGTGAAGCATCAAACGGGGTAGGTGATGCGAAATCGTATTCCATACACTTGCAAGTTATGGCAGTACCATATTTTACTATCGAACCTGAGATCATAAATGCAGCAGAAGACGAAACCATTGAATTCAAATGTGAAGCTGATGGAGTACCTGTTCCTGAAATAAAATGGATCCATAATGGAAAACCAATATCAGAAGCTCCTCCAAATCCACGTAGAAAAGTTACTTCAAATTCTATTATTATTGAAAAATTGACCAAAAAAGATACAGGAATTATGGTTGTAATGCAACAAATTCATTAGGCTATGTCTATAAGGATGTATACGTAAATGTTTTAGCTTTAGAACCAGAAATTACACAACCACCTACTGATATTGCCACAGTTGATGGTAAAACTGTGAGAATAACTTGCCGTGTATTTGGAGCACCGAAACCAGCTGTAAAATGGATTCGAAATGGACAAGAATTAACAGGAGGACGATATAAAACTTTAGATTCTGGAGATTTAGAAATTGAAAATGTAATATTTTTAGATGCAGGCATCTATACATGTCATGCATCCAATAAATTCGGAGAAGTAGAAGGTTCTGGTAATTTAGTAGTAAAAGAACATACAAAAATTACAGATGAACCAGAGGACTATGAAGTTGCTGCAGGTTCTACTGCAACTTTTAGATGTAATGCTGTTACAGATTCAAGTTTAACACTTACGATCGATTGGCTATCTAATGGAGAACCTATTGATTTTGAAATGGAACCACGATTTATACGAAGCACTGATTATTCTTTAATGATCACAAAAACGACTGAATTAGATTCTGGTACTTATACTTGTGTTGCTCATACTGAGTTGGATGAAGCAAAAGCACAAGCTACATTAATTGTCCAAGATGTACCAAATGCGCCAAAATTGATTAGTGTTACTTGTATGACAACTGAAGCTTCTATACATTGGACTCCAATGGGTGATAATAGAGCTCCAATATTAAGATACACTATTCAACATAATACCACTTTTACACCAGATACATGGGAAATATCAAAAGATGATGTACCAGCAACTGAACAAACATATATTGTTCCAATGTCACCTTGGACTAACTACACATTTCGTGTATTAGCATGGAATAAAATAGGTACATCATTACCCTCACCACATAGTGATGTATGTACTACATTACAAGATGTTCCTTATAAGAATCCTGATAATGTTATGGGCAAAGGAACAACACCACAAAATCTGGTTATATCTTGGACAGTAATGCCTCAAATCGAACATAATGCACCCAAATTCATGTATAGAGTATATTACAGACGTGATATACCTGGAGAGAAATGGACTATAGAAGATATAACTGATTGGAAGAAAAATAGCTTAGTTGTAGATAATCAACCAACTTATCAAAGATATAAGATCAAAGTGGTAGCTATTAATGAAAAAGGAGAATGTAGAGTTGCACCTGAAGAAGTAATTGGATATTCTGGAGAAGATGGTTTGTTATATAATTTTATTATATAAATTTAGAATTTTTTTTAAGATTAATATTATTTAATATTCATTTAATGTTATAGTACCATTGCAAGCACCAAGCAACTTTACATTAAATCAAGTAAAATCAAGTACAAGCGCACAATTTTCATGGAATTCAGTACCTGAAGAATCAGTACGTGGTGAATTAAAAGGATATAAAATACAAACATGGACAGAAAAAGACGGTGAAAAGGGAATGCGAGAAATTGATATAAGAGGTGGCAATAGGACCCATGCACTAGTTACTAAATTTATTCCTTTCAGCAAGAATTATGTTCGAATACTAGCATATAATGGACGGTAATAAACTACAATAACAGTTTATAATAACAAATAAACTTTCATATATAACTTTATTTATAATAATAATTTTTTTATAACAGATATTCTGGACCACCATCTGAAACTTTAAGCTTTGATACTCCTGAAGGTATTCCAGGAGTAGTTTTAAGTCTTGAAGCTTTCCCAATGGGATCTAGTGCATTGTTTTTAGTATGGACAAAACCTGCAGAACCAAATGGTATTCTGACTGGCTATAGAATATATTACGAACCTGTAAATGAAACTAGATTGGGACCTTTGCTGGAGAGAAAACCACATATTACGGATGTAGAAGCCACTAGTGCAAAACTAGCTATGTTAGCACCTGATACAAAATATCGTATACATATTCGAGCAACAACAAAAATTGGTGAAGGAAACGAGTATGTATCACTATTTGATATATTAATACATGTATTTAAAATAATACATTTTTTTATGTTTTTTTCACTTAGTTATTTTATTGAACAAAAAACACGCACATCTCAACGACCTGATGTCCCATTATTTACCTGGGAAGCTATTCCAAAAGAAAATGGATATTCAAATGTAAGAATTATTTGGCAACTAAATCTTAATGGAAATCCAGGAAGCCATTTCTTTGTAAAATACAAACTCAAAGGTGAAACAATATCTCTTAAAACTGAACCAGAATATTTATCAAATACAATTGAAATTCGTGGACTTCAAAGTGGTGAAACTTATGTTATGTCTGTCGTTGCTGTTGATGGCAACTACTTCGCTGAAAGTGAACCGCAAGAAATTGAAACGAGTAGCGAAGGACCTATTATTCAACCCAAAGAAAATGTCGCTACTGCAGGATGGTTCATCGGAATGATGTTAGCAATTGCTTTTCTTCTTTTGGTACTTATAATCGTATGTGTCATTAAACGTAATAGAGGTGGAAAGTATGCAGTACATGAAAGAGAATTAGCTGCTGGACGTGGTGATTATCCTGATGAAGGCGGTTTTCATGAATATTCGCAACCTTTAGACACGAAATCAGCAGGTGGTCGTGCATCTCTTGCATCTTCTTCTCATCAAGATGGAAAACATCCTGAGTCTGATACTGATTCCATGGCAGAATATGGAGAAGGAGATACAGGTCAGTTTAAAAGTTTATTACACTATTATTTTATATTGCACTGTTATATTAAGTTAGCAAAGCAATTCAAGAAGATAATATTATATTTTAATAAATTATACATTTGTATTTCTAAATGAAAGCACAAATATTTATGTTTCATTATTTTTTATTTTATACACATCCATGTATAAGTAAGATAAAATATTTATTTACAATTTTAATTTCTTGCTTTAGTATTTTAATTTATGTTATTTTTTTTGTTTCTCCATTTTATTTTGCTTTATTGCTTGACTTAATACAGAAGGTATGAATGAGGATGGATCATTCATTGGTCAGTATGGTCGACATCGTAAACAAGAACCAAATTCACAAGCATTTGCCACATTAGTTTGAGGTAGGTTAGTGATACATTTAAAAAAAATGTTGTATATTAATGATTCGTATATTCTAAATTATAATTTTGAATGCAAATTTGTGAATTATGATTATCTTCTGTTGAAGGACGTTTCACAGAAGATGGTTCTTTCATTGGACAATATGGGCCGAAAGGTAGACCGGAAGAAACACCGCCCATTCCAAGCGGCACTATGGCCACATATGTGTAACCTCTGGTATTATCTTATTCAAGCCTCATATAATTTGTTTTTTTGTGAAAAGTAAGGTTTTCAATCCTTACTTAGCTGCAGCAGCTCTGCTATGCACCTTGCGCTGGGCGCAATGTCCAACATTATACTGCCAATTAGATTTTGGTTTTGGGTTTTATAGTTTATAGTTTTATAATTTAGAAAGATAAGTAAATATTTCTATATGTTTAAATCGAATAAGATTATATAAATCATATATAACATTTATATATTCATATCGGTTAAAACATAATTCCTCTTAAATGTTTAATACATATCTAAGTATGTATTATTCAAATATTTCAACAATTTTTTGAACTTTGAAAAAATTAATCTGCGATAATTATTTTTTCTATAACGTGATTATCTATATTACAAAATACAATTTGTTAATTGATCAAAAATTATTTACAATTAATGAATTTGTTAGAGATTTTTAACTAATTATAAAACCCAAAGACGATAGGTGTTTCATAGCGTGCAAGCTATTTATGGATATAATATAGTAAAAAGTATTCTACCATCGATCGTAACATTTAACATGGCCAGATTAAAAATTGACATTTCGAAACATCACAGGGTAGTGAGTTATATTTATATTGTTCTAAATATGTATGACACAAAAAGTATGGTATTTTTGAGGCTGCATATAGGATTTACGTCTTTCATATAAAGATAATCAGTATCAATAATTGATATTATCCAAAAATTAATTAATACATAAACAAATATTACTTATATGCAATCTTAAAAACGAAAGGACTGACATCGAGTCATAGTAACATAGTGTCATAATCTGGCCTGGACTGAAACTAATTTTAATTAAAAAAAATGAAGAAAAAATTTGTTCTAAGAATCTTTAGATGCAATCAATTTTTACTCTGCCGACAAAGGGCCAAATATAATAAAACAGTGACTATCTATAATTATTGTGTGCGTGCACTTTCATTAAAGATATACAAACAACAAAAATATATAAAAAATATCATCATCATCATCAGCAGCAGCATTCTTATTATTATTAATAACACTATTATTATTATTTTTATTATTAAGATATGAAAAGAACATCATACATGCACTATAGTAGTTAAAAAAAAGTCACATGGCCTCTAATTGTTGCTTTTTGTATGTGAAATGTGCTTTAGCTAAGAACGAAAGTCCTTTTTAATTATTAATATTTATCTTCCTTTTGGTAATTTGATTATAATCTGATCAATAGAGATATAATTTAATATATAAAAAATTATTGAATATATATAAAGACGTATATTGATTACTAAAATTAGTATTAAAAGAATATGAGCAGCTATTAAGTTCTAGTATTTGAAATGTTATTAGTATTTGAAAAGAATTATATGGAGTTCGTTTATTTCTCCGAAAATAAATTTAATATTTTTTATTTACTATGTTAAGTTAAAATATTCAATGCAATGTACAGGTTGTCTGCAAAAGTGTCGTGAGCAAATATATCAGGTACAAAAATAAAAAAGGTACAAAATATAGAATACTTACATGTGCGCGTAAAGTTCGTAAAAATCTATATGATATGATGTGAAAATAATATACATCTCTCAATTTATATAAAAAAATCAAATTAAATTGTGATGTTTTGAGTTGACTTTTAAAATTTTAATTAGTAAATCAATTCATAGATCTTCGATTTATATTTGTCAGGGTCTTTTTTGCCGATTATCCTGTACAAATGGCTTGGACGTCACATAATTTTTACGAACTCTATATATATAAATATATACAATTATAGACGCCTACAGAAAAAATGTATTATAAATGAAAGAAAACAATAATTTATTGTAAAAATACTAAAATATATAAAAGAATATACAGAGACATATATGTAATATATTAAAATGTCATTAATCATAAACTTATAAATTATATATTTATCAGGATAAGCAACTGACGTCCAAGTCAAAACATAGATGTAATTATGTTTCAATGTATTTTTCTAATCATACTATTTTCTGTATATTTTTGAAGTATATCCAAATCATATTTATCAAGATTTGAATCTCTGGTTGGCTGATATGGTGACTTATGTGAACTTCCAATACTTTGGTATATATTACTGATATTTTGATACTTTTTTAATATATTTTGATATACTTTTTCTTCTTTATTTCACTTGTTACATGCATAAAACGTTCTTTTTTTTGTATTATTTTTTTTGTATGTAGAAACATTAGCCTTTAGCACGAAACATTTGTATATTAGATCTGATCTTTTTTTATCATTACATTAACAATTTTATTACACTGTCAAACAATGACATCATGTTAGTGTAGTAAGCACAGATTTATATTTAAAAAAAAAGTATGATATATACGAAACTTTTTACAAAACAGTGTTCATTTTACAACGACAAGACAGCACATGTTATATATATAAAAAAAAAATGACAAAAATAATTAAAAAGAGGGAATACTCGTTGAAACATGTGCGCGTCTATCGTACTAACTTTTAATGTACATTACGTTACTACTACTAATTCCGACAATTTTCCGACAGAAAAATGCATAAAAAGGTATGCTCTTATTAAGGATACATTATTATGCATATTTCTAATAATACAATTGTTTGAATATTTTTTCTATAGTATAGAGTTTTCAGAGTTTAGCAATCTGGTTAAAAATTCTTTCATCTCTCATAATAAAACAGAGGTTGAAAGTATGTATTATATTGCGTTAAAAATATTATGTAAAATTTCAAAACGATTTCGCCTTGTGTTTATCAGCAACAATGATAACGCGCATTCCAATACCTGTGTAACATCTCCCACGTCAATAAAAAAAATAAACTAATAATAAATAAATAAAAATCTTTAAACAATCAAATTATATAAATTTAGGATTATTAATTTTTCTTTGTTATCAAATTTATCCCTTAAGCTTGTTCAAAGTTATATTTTTTTATAAAGCAGGAAGACTCAAACTGAAATAATGAGATCTCAAAAAATTTCTATTGAATTTATTAAAATATTTGATATCTTTTACTAAGAATCGGAAAAAAATGGGATAAAGAAACTATGATTGAGGCCCCCTGCAGTTTCGTCAGAGACCTTATTGCATCGTCCTCGAGGCAACTGTGGCCTCTATTGTATGAGAATGCATTCGGTTGTCCAACGAAGGGCTATGCAGACAGAAGTCGAACGAGATGTGACCGATAATGTAATTATGCGGGACAGGTTTTTTGTACCGGTACTCTAACTTGATCTCTTGAGAGTTGTTCTCTCTCTTTTTATTCTCTTTATTTTCTCTTTCGCCAACATTTCCTTTTTCTATCTCTTTCCAACGTATATTTATCCCTTTTCTATCTTTTTCATTCTTTCTCGTTTAAAATTCATCCTATATCCATAAGTATATCCGTAAGTTATTTTTCTGATTACTAATCCCGTGTTTTGGGATTGCTCCATTTTGTAGTACATCTCTCTATCATTGTTGTTTGCTTAGTGAGAAGAGCGATAAAAAATGACAAAAGGAGAAGGCGGACGACAATGCAGAAATGTAGCACAATCTGGTTGCTGCCAGCTACATGCATCGACATTAGCGCCTGAGTGCCTGTGAAGAGTTATGTATCCATGTAGAAACCGAGATTGTGTTCGTGTGTCCTACGAAAGAAAAGGACGTAAGGTCGATGCATATGAAAGAAAGGGATCGTATATACAAGTTGCACACTTTGATCAGATGTGCAGTATGTTGTAAATTGCAAGGTAAATTACAAGAAATTACAACGATAAATAGATATCGGATATCGTATATAAAAATAAATTACTTTATCACAAATAACATAATATGAAATATATATTAATATATTGCAAAAAAATTACATTCACATTGGAAAAAGAATAATCTATGATAATGAATACATAATTTTTTTATTACTTCTATGAAGATTTCCTTATCGTTGTTTCTGCAAGATCATATGTAAGAATAAATTTTAATATCTATTCATCACGATTAACAAATATAACTAAACAACTAATTCAATTTTTACAAATACACAGGGGCTCTTTATTAATGCAACTCAAAACGAATTGATGGTTGGTGAATCGACATTTATGCTGACGGTATAGAGTTTTGCGTAATGCTTTACCGTATACAACTGTTGGTGGTTTGTAGCGAATCCAATTAGGTTTGCGATGGTTGGACAAAAACATTCGATCGGGAATAAACCGGCACCGGTTGCTCCCCTCGAGACTCGCTCTTCCATTCGTGAGCCGTATAATATGTATACGTTCAGATCAATTGTACGTTGTGTATCGAATAAAACGGCCTTTTCTTCTCAGCACACCAATAATATATAGAGTACGCGATTCTCTCGTGTTATCATTTATCGAATATCCTTTAATTTTATCCGATTATTAGACGCATATTTCAGTATTTAAAAATTGATTACTCGAAAATGCTAATAGCTAAAATCGATTATTTCCTCGTCTTTCCTTCTTTATTACATAATGAATAAAAATTATCTTTTTAATTTTAGTTTACAAATAATTTTATATATTTTTTCATTAATCGAATAAAAGTAAAGAAAAAACCAAGAAGATGTTTATTTTTCTTTTTGGGACTGATAAAAGTAAAAATTTGGATAGTGAATAGTTACTAAATCATGCGTATTTTCAATCGACCAAAGTAATAATAGTTCTGCACACAAGAAGATCGTTTCTCTTTTCTGAATTACCCTATATGCATGCCCGTTTCGTGCACGGTGAAAGAAGGATGAAGGGGAAAAAGCGAAGAAGAGAAGGAGTAAGAGGAAAACCAAAGAGTTGTAAGAGATAACAATGGGCCATTTGTTAGATGACCCAACCTTCGGACATGCAGCCTACAATGCATACTATTATTAACTATTCATTAAATGTTCTGCTAAACCTGTTGCTCGATGGATCCAGAACAACCCTCATCCTTCCTTGGAAAATGACCAAGATTTGATTTTTAAAAATGAAAATATTGCTTTGTAGAATTTTTAAAATTTTACATAAAATTTAAAAAAAATGTTATAGATAGTTTGAAATAAAAAAATTGATTCGTTAACCTTACGTTTTTTTAAATGAATTACACAGAATTAAAAATTACTGAATATAGTAAGAACATATATAAGATGAAAATAGTAAATTCAATATTATGTTATAGTTGCAATGTTAAATTAAGTAATTTCTTTCTTAGAAAGATAAGGCGATTTCATCGAAGACAGTCCATGACAATGCATATCATGTTATTATTATTCATCGACTGAGCTTTCATTCCAAGTCTCTGATCGGAAATATTAATACAATCGAATTCCATTATTATGTATTTCTTTTCTATTTTTGATTTCGATTATACATAGATCATACATCTCGATTGCTAGAATAGAAAATAAACTTGATTATTATTTGTCATTTACAGTGAAGATAAATTGCTTTTTTCTAAGTATTAATAAAATTTTCATGATTTTTAATAGTCTCAATCAAACAATACTATTAACTAAATATAATATTCTTTTCTAAAAGATTTAAATATTATTTATTAAACTTGAAAATGCACACAGGTAAACATATATATACTTTCATGAAAACTAGGTTATAAGACACATTAAAAATATCTCATTTTTTTTTTTATTATATATAGAGTTAATATTCATTATTAAATATATTGATTTTTTAAGATAAGATAAAGTATAGATCTTCAACCATTGATTTACTTAAAAAATTTTTCACTATATTTTTTTGAATCATATAATCCATCGCAAAATATCCAGCATATATTGAAAGTGTCTTATGTAGCTTTCGTCACTTGCACCTGTTTGTAGAAAGTTTTTCTACATGATTTGGTATGTTCTTCAGAAGATGATCAATCGTGTCGCGAAGAGTTGCTTCTCTCTGTGAGGCGCGAAAAATGTTTGCGGCCTGACCGACCACAAGCGCCAGAGTGTAAAATCGTGCATGTCGTATATACCACGGCATCTAACAAGCCGGCCTTTGTAACGGATTGCAAAACGACCATGGAAATGTGGTCGAACATTCGATGGAAGGATACTGTACTAAGAAGGGTTCCACCAAGAAAACGATGAAATATCTTAAAATTCATTGTTTTGAGATATTAATCATTTTTTCAGATATTAAAAATTTTATGTATTAAAAATTATAATGAGTGAAAAGAATTAAAATATCTTAAATTTTCACAAATTTATATCTAGTTTTTAATAATTTTTAAATTTTACATTATAAAATATAAACAAGATTTTCCTGCAGTTGATATAATACCATTCGTGATATTATGGTTCAAAAACTTATTGTGGATCATTCAAGTTCGACAAATTTCTATCACTTCGCGGGTTATTCGAAAGATTTAAAACAAATCGAAAGATACTGATGAGTTAATAGCAAGCCTAGTGTCAAGCCTGGGAACAAAGTCCAAACTGCAGTAAATTCTCTTTACCGATTGCAAAGACAGACTGAGAAAAGACGAGGAGGGGAATAGAAGACAAAGTACGAAAGAGAATGAAAGAAGAAACGAAGAAGAGGAACCCGACCAAAGACGTTTAAAAACTGGTTCCTTCCACCCATTTCTTTTCACCTTATTTGCTAATCCGAATTCTGATTTCCATATATCCGTGTAGACGATATTCGAGTCCCAAGAAGATTGGTATAGGTTGGTAGAACGTAAAATATGTCTACGAACTATCTCTGATTTACCAGATAAATAGCAGATGTTTATTTTAAAAAAAAATATGTTTGTCTTTAATAAAATCATTCATAAACTTACCAGGATGTTCTTATGCAAATGATTGAATCTAAAATGATTGAATTCTTTTTATTTTTAATAATCGATGGATCGATAGTGATGATTTGCCAATCATATATAACATAAGCATTCCTAAAATCGATTACTCGCAATTATGACTAAATGTTCGAATGAATGTATATTTAAATTTGCAACTTCGATTTTTAGAGAATTATTATACTTCAATTTTTTTTTAAACCATATAATTTTTATTTCATTCAAATAATCAAATTTATATTATCAGAATGTTTTATATAAATACTTGGATTTTATAATAATAATAATTTTTAAAATATTTCAAATTTACCAAAATATTAATTAAAATATTAAATAATTATACCAAATACAAATTATAGCAAAAATTGAAAAAAAAAAAGAATGGGAATCATGTTATCATTAATGATCAACTTTCAACAGTCAATATTGTCTGCGAATCGTTGTGCACGCACCCTTATCCCCAAATATATCGAGACCCCTTAAGAGATAGAGATCTTGCTCGCGGTCTCGGCAAGAACACGGGCTGCTGTAGGCCTTTTCTCATTGAGTCAGTCAGTCAGTCAGTCAGTTTGCCGCAGAGACGCGGTCCGTACGCACGTGTGAATACATGTCTTGTTGTCTTAACATTACGTGATCGTATGGTTGCGTTATCGACAGAGTCAGAAAGCAGCGGTGAAGCATCGGCGAAATTGGTCGTCGGTCAACCGGTCGGTCGTTTTCTCGATCGCGAGAGTTGATCCCCACTGAAGCTTCACATTGGTCTCTGGTTGTGTCAGCTCATTAGATTGCGTGCGTGAGAACGTGCTTGTTCATCTCAAGTCTCGCCGTGAAATCCTGAATTTCACGCATCAAATTGTGGCGTGTTCCATCGACCTGCACATCGAATCACAAGTGGTGATTCACACACAAACAAGTGGAACAGAACTATAGAGAGGGATAGATTTACGTAGCCACAAGGGGGCTAGTCATAAACCGTGCAACACCTGGCGGCACGTCGTTAATTATGCAGTGGGCCGCAGCCGCCCTGGCCTCGGCGGCTATCGCTCTGCTTCTGGACACGGCGGCCGCAAGGCATCACCATCGTTCTGGCAATGGACACAAACCAACCGGTGACATTTCTCTCTGGATCGATCAGCAACAGATCAAAATGTTCAGCGGTAAGTTATTATATATGTATACCGGTACTATCGTGCCACGGACATCCACTTATATTCAGTTATGTATTCTTTTTTTATTTTCATCCTTTTTTCATTCTTTTTTTATATTATGTTTTATTTAATTTTTAATCTTAAGTATTTGAAACTCATATATTTTTTTTAAAGAATTTATTTCATATTTATCTAATATAGATTCTAATATAAATCTATCTAATATAAATTCTAATATGAAATATAGGTAGAACTATCATTATTTTTATTATCATTATAATATTTTTTATAATAATTTTTATGATTTTTTAATTAAAAAATTAATTTTTTAATCTGATTTTTTGATAAAAAATTTTATTTTTTATGTTATTTTTACATTTCATGTTAGAAAAATTCATTAGTTTTTATGTCTAATATATAAATAAATTTAATATATTAATTTTAATAATAATTCATATATACTTTTATTTTTATCATAATACTTTTGGATGAATAAATCATAATAAAATTATGATCGATTTTTTTTCTGTTTCATTTAGGAGTTGAAATGGAAATATTTGCAATTACGGAAGGTAGAGTCTTACCTTATCTATTGGATCCAGAATTCGAAAGTAAACTTCCAATTATTCCGAGTGAAGTAACATATGTGAATTTTACATGGAAATCGGGTGTAAAAAAATATTATTATAATTTTTATCGATTAAAATCTTTCGACGAAACAATTCTGAAAACTCCATATATTACAATCAAAACGCAAGGAAGAGTACCTAAAAGACCTAAGGGTAATTTATATGTTTTATTTATCAACGTAATCATTTTAGTTAATTAATAAATTTTATCGATTAACAAAAAATTCATAAATTTAACAAGTTACATAATTCATTATCACAGAATTTAGCGTCTTATTACCCTGTTCCGGTAATAATTCGGGCATTGCGCAATTGGGCATCGGTCTGATGATTGAGACACGTAAGGGGAAACCTTTAAATGGGACACCCCTTCGTCTTAACCTGAGAAAAGAATGCACCGTGCGCGGTGAGTGCGTCAATCGCGCCCACGAACGAAAACTCACATATAATTCTTTATCAGCAATAATTAATCGCTTAATATACTGCATGCTTCAGTTAGAAACAATCAAAATTAGTTCTATGAACATTTTTATTATATAAAAATAGAGAAAAAAAATGTTTTTATAACAAAGATTTAAATTAACGCTTTAAATTAATTAATAATTAAGAAAATTTCAATTATTTTTCTATTTAATAAAAATGATATATGAAACATACTTTTATAACTTAATATAAAAAAATATTTTATGAGAAATTTTGACTATATATAATATTTTTAAACGAGAAAATAGACTCTCTATATAATTTTATATAGTTTTATCTCATAGATCTATAATCGATTAATTAACCTATTAATTTAATCGATTATTAATTATTTTAATCAATTGAATAAAACTATAGAAGTAAAAATAAAACTGTTTTGCTTCTATGATATTCATGAAATTTTTATTATAAAAATCTATCTTAATTATCTACTAAAACTCTATTTAAATGCAATTATTAAGCTTATCTGATAAAATTTATGTGATAGTAATAACTGAATGCTTTTTGTATTTCTTTCTGATATAACAATAAACGATGTTTGTTTCTAATTTTTATCGAAAATAAAATGGAAAATATTTATGGAAATATATTTATGCGAAAGAATTGATGCATGCAGTACTTGATTGATATATTCAAAAATATTTAAATTAATTTCATTTGAGAATATCATGCATGGATACAAATGTATTAAAAAATACATTTAAAATCACACTTATTCTATTCAAATTTTCTATTTAATATTAATATCATGAAAATAATTTTTTTATATGCAATATTTTTTATTGCAGAACCTAATCCTGGACCTTGTCCAGATGGATATTTAGGTCCACCTCATTGTAAGAAGGCATTGTGTTATCCAAACTGTATGAATGGTGGTAATTGTACAGCACCTGGTGTTTGTTCATGTCCACCAGGATTTCAAGGACCATACTGTGAAGGAGGTACTTTAAAAGATATATATATATATATATACATACATATATGTATAAAGTAGATATTATTTTATTCCATTAAAATTAAACTAATTTTTTATAATGTAATTAGTTTATTATTATTAATATAACATTTTCATATTATAATAATATCATATAACTTTAGATATTGATATAGCAGTTTTACAGCCAAATTTAATAATATTTGTTAAAGCTTGATAAAATGGAGCTTGTTCTGCACCATGTTCTATACCTGTGTCATGATGTTCTTGTTCTTCATCACGGAATTTTTTAATTGTTTCTAAAATTTCTTCATCTACTTTTTCCTCATTTTCTACTAATGCGCGCAATTGATCATTATAATGCTCTGTAATCACTGTTTCAACAGCTACAGTGCAAGCCATAGCTGCTTTCTCTCCCATAAGTGCTGTACCAGCACCAAGAATAAATCCAGCAACATTCCAAATAGGTATTAAGACAGTGGGTCTTACACGATATTTTGTAATTAATTCTTCAAATTTTGCACAATGTTTTTTCTCTTGATCCCACATATGTTGAATAGTTGGGCCAACAGAAGTTCTACCTATCTTATGTATCTACATTGAACTTAAATTTATTTCCAAACAAAAAAATAATATTTTGATATATTTATACTATATTTATACCTAAAACAGCCATTTGTCCAGCATATATTCTATCTGCTCCTAATTCTCCAGCATGATCTACTCTTATAATTGAGTCTAATAATTTTCCTGGTTTAGTTGTTCCTGAAATTGTTGATGTACTAGCCAATCGAATCCCATATTGTCTGAGATGCAGCATTTTTTCTATAAAATTTAAGATATTTTTGATTTTTTTTTTTTTTTAATTAAAACATTAATTTTAGGTATATGTGCAGAAAAATGTTTAAATGGAGGAAAATGTGTACAGAAAGATACTTGTGAATGTCCAAAAGGTTATTTTGGATTACATTGTGAATTTTGTAAGTAAAAATAATAATAGTTGGAATTTAAATATTATTTATAATGAATATATATATTTTTTTTTAGCAAAGTGTGTAATACCCTGTTTAAATGGAGGAAAATGCAAAGGGAATAATGTATGTAGATGTCCTGCTGGTTTTAAAGGTGATCATTGTGAAATTGGTAGACGATCTCCACAACGTTCAGCGTGCACAAGAGCATGCAGAAATGGGACTTGTCAACCTGATAATACATGTCTTTGTGAACCTGGTTGGTTTGGAAAGTTGTGCAATAAAAATAAGCCATGGGCTTGAAAGTAGAAGCAATTTTCCACTGATGGTATTATTTATAACCAATTGGATTAACATAAAAATTTCTTATTTAATGTCTTATAACTTTGAATTCTATTTACATGATGTTCATTCATTTCACTTTAAACCTCGCATTTAATTTTTATATTATATTATATTTTTTTTAGATAAAAAATGATGAATCGCTAATTTTATGATTGTTTTATAAATTAAATAACAATAATTTTAAAATCCAATTGGTTAATACCACTAAACTAATATTTAGTTAGTAATTTACCCTACCCCAGATGTGATATGTAAAGCTGCTTTACAACATTTTATACTATTAAATATTATTTTTAAATAATATACTTTTATATTGTTAGATTTATGTAATGATTGTAAAGAATATATATACAAAATATATTTTCTCTCTTATAATTAATATTCTTTTATGTTGATTTTATAAAATTATATTTCACTTTAAATTATTTTGACATTTAAAGTAAAAGTTTTAAATTTCAATTATTTATAATAATTTCTCTTTTTGAAAAGATAATAAAAGATACAAATATTACTAATAAAAAAAAATATTGCTATTCAAATTTATATGATACAAAAAAATTGCATACCAATTCTGCAGTCGTTCAAATAGAAAACGTCAAAACAACGTGAAGAACGATTGCTTCTACCTGTTTCAGGTATACAAGTTAGGTTAGACTGAAACTCAGCAACATCACTCCAGGGACGCTGAGAACAAGAGTCACGTGTTTCAGGACCCAATAAGAACGTACATCAGATAGACGCCATAACGCGTACCCCAGAAGCACTATCCAATCACGTTATTCCAGACTCGTATACATGTATATGGTGTTCGTGTTTCCGTGGTCGCTGGTATCTATTTGCAGATTTTCACGGGAAATCGGTGAGTGCCGAAGAGATATCGGTGCGTTATTAGCACGTAAGTGATCGTTGAGGGCCCGGGCGATGCGCGGATGTTGCGCATTCGCAAAATAAGGGCAATTTCGCATCGTCTGCTTGGAGTGCACCGCGCAGGCTCGCTCAAAATGGCCGCCTCGCTGCCGCGTTTGTTGTGGTGGAGATGGAGAGCCGCGTAGCCGATCGATACGCCTGCTGGCGAAACTGGCCATGGTGTCTATGGCGGCTGTTGTGCGTGTTGTGGCGTGGCGCGACGTACACGCGAGTTACGAGCGGTGAGATAGAAGGTCGCGTGCTAGCCTCACGGTGGTGGTGCTGTGCGGGTGAGCGTTTGACACGGGTGGCGAGATGACCGCGAGACGCGAGCGTAGGGCGTGGTGAGAGAGCGTAGCCGACGGCGGCCTCCCCGCAGACGCGAAACCCTGAGCCCTCCCTGATCGGGTGACCACTCACGGGACACACAAGGTGCGTACGCAACTCGCGATTTTCACTGGGCCTGCTCCATGGCTCCGCGGTACCGCGGTCATGAGCTTTGCGGCCCCGGAGGTGGTCTCTTTTGCGTGTGCCCTGCGCATTTTCATTGCCCCCCCAAGTATCACCAAATAAACGCGCCGTGTGCGCGGCTTGGCGCATCTTCTCTCTCTGTTCTCATCTCGTCACGCTTTGCCAAGCCACGCTCTTACCAGCCTTCTTAACTGGCCGTCCGCCGTCTGTCGTCTGTCACCTGTCGCCTGTCAAATTCATCTTACAAATATCTCTTACTCGCTGTCATGCCGAGTTTAATACTGGGTCACTACGCTTCAATCACGCTTCACGAATATCTCGTATTCATGCACAGATCACGGCGACGACGACGACGTTCACGTTACGATTTTCCGCGTTTTTCATTTTCACGAAGTTGTTTTTCCTATCGCGAATATCTTGCGTTTCATCATGCGTGGGAATCCCAAATTTATGCGCGGGAAATGCTTTCGTCTAAAACTCGTTGTTTATGTTTTTAAAATTCAGCCTATATATAGTATCATCATTCTGGATTCTTATCTACTCTACTTTATCTTTATCATGCAGTATGTTTCATATCATAATTTACCCTATAAAAATGATTATACAAAAGAATATTTAGTATTTATGCATAATGAGATTATAATACTTCAGTTTTTTATAGTTCATATAGATATAGAATAGCATTCATGTCTTTTTTCTATGTATATATTTTTCAAATATTGCTGTATAAATATTGCCATTGTTTATTTGATTTTTAAAAAATATTTAATATACAATTTTTCTTTTCTGTTTTATTATAAAATTTATATTTTTACATATATATAATTGTTTTATATATTGTCTTTTATATGTGTCTTATTATGTGTGAATATTTTAAATATATTTTAATAAAATATTTTATTTTTATTTTTACATTAAAATTTTTTCTTATAAATAACAAATAGATAACAAATAGTTTCTCATATATAATAAATAATATAAATAAAAAACATTATAAGTCATTTTTTTATGTAAAATTAAATTTAGAGTATATAATATATAAAGTTCATTTAAAACAATTTTGTTTTGTAAAATTTATGTTATGTTATTTATGTTATTTACAAGAACATATTTATTATTTTATATCTTTCATTTTTTATATAAACTTGCTCTTTCTAATTTAGGACAAGGTGATGTAGAAGAAAAATCAAAAATCAAAGATTGGCATTTGTTTCTACGGGGCATTGCAATATAACTAAAGACAAAACGGGTGACGAAGACAAGAAGATGGTTTCTCTGCCCAGTGCAGAGTCTGGCACAATGGACAGAATCTCAGATGATGATGATGAAGAGCCAAGTAGTGGATCTGAAACATATGAGGAAGGTGATCTTATGACTGCTGCCATGGATGATGATGTGACGGCCCAGCTCGCCGCTGCAGGTTGGCAAATCAAACACGCTAATGGTGATTTCCATTTTTTTTGCTTTTTCACCTTTTGAGTTATTTATATTCTAATCATTTTCATTTACAAAAGAAAAGTAACATACTGGGTGCACCAATAATGTTAAATGATTGATTCTCATAGATAAGTAAAAAACTTCATAAATTAAATTTTAGAAATTGTTGATATATTTTAGTTTGTAATTAATATCAATAATATATATATAATATAATTCTGATTTTATATAAATTAATTTATATATCATTATTCATATTTTTGAAAACACAAATAATGAAGGTATTATATTTTGCAACTTTATAATAGTTATATTAATTAGAAAATATTCAGAATTGAAGTTATCTTGATTTATTGACAGAAAAATAGAAGTAAATACTACCTGCTAATGATACATCTAATCTGGTAACTATTAAATATAAAATTTAAATATAAATAAGAAGATTTTTAGGAATCTTATTATAATTAACAGTTATTTATATATTATTATATCATTTTTAAAAGTAAACAAATAGGTTTCTTTTTATATTCATGTCATGACAATGCAACATTTTTTTTTTTTTTATCATTTTAATTTCATTCCTTAAATTATTACAAATATATTTATATTAAATTAAAAATCCATTAATAAAACACATTATTATTGAATGCATTTTACATTGTTTGTGTGCTGTAATATATTATTTGCTTTCTATTTTTAATATTTTATATATATGGAAACACTGTTTTTTTATATACATTTTAATTATATGTTTTATATTTCATTTTCATTTGCATATTCAAGATTATTCATGTGCCATTCTTTTGTGTTGTTTTTATTAAAATATCATAGCTTACATGTTGTTCAAGATTTTTCTTGCAAATTTGTGTTTATTTTTGTGCAATAAATTTATTTTGTTATGTTTATTACTTAAATGTTATAGAAAAATGTAATAGATTTTGTAGATGTTCATTATCACTCTATTTAAAAAAAAATTCAAGAATATATTATTTATTTACAAATTTTATATATATAAAATGTATAATTTTTAATTTTATATTATAACTATAAATTTAATTTATTATTATTAGACATAATATATTCTTGAATATCAAGCACGTTTCATATCATTACTGCTTTTGCATCTTTTATGTTTTGAATGAACTAAAGATATATATTTATATAACATGTCAGTAACATATTTAAATACAACTAAATGTACATATAATAAAAAAGTTTTAAACATTAATAAATATTTTGAAATATATAATAAAAATTTTGAAAATATATATTATAGAAATTGAAATTTTAATACTAATATTTTACTGACATTTTTTATTTGGTGTGGGATTATAAAATTAGAAAACGTATAGTTAATAATTTATAAAAATAATTTAGGCCCTGTTGGCGTAGCTGCAGCTGCTGCCATTGTCTCAGCAAAAAAAAGGAAACGACCTCATAGTTTTGAAACAAATCCTAGCATTAGAAAGAGACAGCAAAACAGACTTTTAAGAAAACTCAGAGTAAGTATATGTTATAATATATGTTATTATAATATATGTTTATTTTATTTAATCTTATCATTTATATACTTTTACATATATACATATATATGTATATATTTACAGCAAACTATAGATGAGTTTGCAACGCGAGTTGGACAACAAGCAGTAGTATTAGTAGCTACTCCAGGAAAGCCAAACAGTAGTTATAAAGTATTTGGAGCAAAACCGTTAGAAGATGTAGTAAAAAATTTAAGAAATGTTATAATGGAAGAACTTGAAAGTGCGCTTGCACAACAAGCTCCACCACCAGTACAAGACGATCCATCTTTATATGAATTACCACCTCTTATAATAGATGGCATACCAACACCTGTGGAAAAAATGACACAAGCTCAACTTAGAGCATTCATCCCATTAATGTTAAAGTATTCTACAGGCAGAGGTAAACCTGGTTGGGGAAGAGATAGTACACGACCACCATGGTGGCCAAAAGAACTTCCTTGGGCAAATGTACGCATGGATGCAAGATCTGAAGATGAAAAACAAAAGGTTTATAAATATTTAAAAATCTTCAAATATTTATTTTATATTTTGAAAAATTTTCTAAGCTATTAATCTTTATTTTAATATTTTTTTTTAGATTTCTTGGACACATGCATTAAGACAAATTGTAATAAACTGTTATAAATTTCATGGAAGAGAAGATCTTCTACCTGCATTCAGTGAAGAAGATGATAAATCAAATGTACTGATACAACAATCAACTCCTCATTCCTCATCGCATCCATCGCATTCATCCAGTCAAGGACAAGGTGGACAATCGCAACAACAACAGCAGACGGTGGGAGTTGTTCGCCTCAGCAGCACGGATTCATCTAAGGGAAACTCTTCGCCAGCACAGATCATTGCCGCGTCTCCTACAGCTCTTGCCACTGCCACTCAGGTGGGAGTGGATAGAGTACAAAAAAAAAAAAAAAAAATAAGCGAAACAACATGATCAAAAAAGTTGAATTATTAAATACAAATTAATCAAATTTAAATTTTGATGATACATTGTGAGATCATGATGTTCTTTAAATTCTGATTTTATATAGAAAAAAATTAGAATTTGAAATTTCTTTACACGTGACTTGCATTTATGTTCATGTGTTTGGTTTCCCTTATTTGAGTTTGATCTATATTTATTTTTATATAATCATTATTATCATAATTTAAAACAAATTTTATTTTGTTATATATGTAAAATTTTTTGTAATTTTTTCAATTATATCATATTTTGTTTTTTGAAATATGAAAAAAATTATAATTTAATTATCATAATTTATATTTTATTTATTGTTCTAGATGACAGCCCAATATCCTACGGCAGTTTTACAAACAATAACAAATCCTGATGGTACCGTATCAATTATTCAAGTTGATCCTAGTAACCCAATAATTACGTTACCAGATGGTACAACAGCACAAGTTCAAGGTGTTGCTACCGTAAGTATATATTATCGCATATCATAAATATATTTTTTTCTCTAATTTAAAAAAAATTGTAAAAATAAATGAATTTTTTACTTAAAGATTCATACAAGTCAAGGGGAAGTTCAAGCACTTGCTGAAGTAGCAGGCAGTGCGGAAGGTACTAGCGTTGCTGTCGACCTAAACAGTGTTACAGAAGCAACATTAGGTCAAGATGGTCAAATCATTCTCACAGGAGAAGACGGACACGGTAAAACAGTTTTCTATAGGCTCTGCACCGTCGCCGGCCAGGAGCTACTTGAACAGTGAATTTTTTACTGGCCCAGGATCCTTTGTTGTTTTGCATGCTGTCTGCTACGCTCCATTCAAGAAAAATACCTACGTGTTCTACTATTTTGTACAACGAAAGTAGAATATCGATTAGTTATTCTTTTTTGGTACTGTACATATGCAATTTCACTCGGAGCTATGCACAGCTTTATTTTAATTTTTTTCTTTAAGAATCCATGATATATGTAACAAGTTAAAAAGAGCAAATCAAAACACACAATAATTGTTGATTTTTATAATTAATTCATATTATAAAAATATCGCATGTCGAAAAATTAAATCCATAGCATATAAAAATTGTTTTCAATATTGTGTCGTTTTGTATATGTTCATAGACTTCTTAGACTATTCTCTCTTTGAGATGATTAAATGCAAATTTGTTTAGTAGGAGATCGATAAAATTAAATTCATATGTATATGGCATGTACATATTTTTTTTTTTTACGTATATATTTTAAAAAAGAATACATTTGTATATTGAAATATTGCATGTATAATTCAGACTCCTTTGATAAAAAAATTAATTTTTTTAATATTCTAAAAAGTTATATTATAAACAAATATAAATACAATTCAGTTCATGGATTCTTAAGATTTTAAATTTAACGATAAAATAAATGAAAGTATTTCAAGATCAGAAAAAGAACCTGTCCCTGTTTTACAATCACTACTTACCATTATTATCAAAAATTGGTTATTTACTTTAATTAAAACAAAGACAAATAAAACTGCTGTACATAGAGTATTTTTTGTTGATGTTTTTTATTATTTTATAGTTGTATTTAGCAGCCTTTGTTTAAGCTACTCATTGCTATTTTTTAATTTATTTGAACCAATAAATTATTTTGAATATAAAAATTTGTATTTATATAATTTATGCTTATCCAATTTGATTTTATAGAATGGCTTAAACATCTGTTGCTTTTTATTAATGCCTTATTTTTTCTGAAGCGTAGACGAAAATATGTGCACATTAATGATATTATGTTAAAAGGGTGTGCCAAAAAAAAAGATAACACTGAATATAGAAACAAAATATTCATTTTTAACAAATAAATTAAATGTATATAAATTATAGAGTAAGTATATCTACTTTTCTTTAGCACACCCTATTAATTTAAAAATTTTTTTTGTTAGCTTTCTATGAAAAACAATATAATTTCAATTATTATTTAAATTTTAAGAAAATTTGTGTAGTTTTTTAAACCTAAAACTGTATTGTAAACTGGTAATATCAATGCACAAATCCGAAAAAATTAATACAAAATTATATTTTTGAAATAAAAATTACTATAATTGTTATTGATCACATTAATGGATATATACGGATACGTGCTTTTTAAATTAAATTTTACTTTTTACTTTCCAGTTTGCTATACAAAGAAATGCCTGGTCAGGGGCAGAACACAGGAAAAGTTGCTTCTTTGTTTCAGGCTATCCTGTTTCCGTCTCAGGAGTAATAACAGTACCAGTATCTGCTAGTATGTATCAAACTATGGTTGCCAATATTCAAAGTGATGGTACAATGCAAGTAGTCACACCAATGGTTCAAGTCCCAAAGGTTGAGCCCGGAAATGGAGAAACTAGCATTGAAGCTGTCACTATTCAAGGGCATCCTATGACAATGATAAACGCTGCAGGTGAACACCAAGTTCTTCAAGTGATATCATTAAAAGATGCTAATGTTCTTACGAAGGCTATGCAAGCCGAAGTTGTAAAAGACGAAGATAGTCAACAACAACAAACCGTCTCTAGTCCAGAATAAAGCGTTTTACATAGTTAATATAAAGCTTTTATGTTAACACCAAAATGCGACAGGTGCACATTAGTGGTGTTCATGAGAGAAAGAGTGAGAGTATTAGAAATGATATGTGTTATTAATATTAAGGAAAATGATTGTGTCTTTTCTGAATCATTGTGTAGTGTGTCCTCTTGTTGAGAAACAATAATGAATAGCGAATATGTTTGGAGAGTGAAAATGATTGAATGTTTGATGATTCATGAGACTTGAATGTAATCATATTTGTATTCAAGATTCATTGTAGACACTTAGAAATATCACTTGTAATTCAATTTCTCAAAGATAGTACTAATTTTTAGAAAGTACTGCGTTCGATGAAAAAAAAGCCGTTGAATATGCAAGTTTCATCGATATATTTATAATGATAGTATCCGCGGTCTGGATATTTAATATTTCCAATAAGCAAACACGGATACAAATATTTTCGTCTAGTCTTAATGTCGGGTCTTTAAGAATGATCGATATACCAAAGAAATTAAAATTTGTTTTAAATTATTTATGAAAAAAATAATTATTAAAAAATTATGCAATTTAATTTTATCAAATTAATAATCTAAAAATAATTTTTATTGAAGATAAAGAAATTCGTTAAATTCAAAAATGATAGATAATTTTCTCAAATAAAAAATAAACTATAATTTATATAAAGTTTGAAAAATGTTTATAGAAAAATTTAATATATCTGAAAAATCTTTAAAATTCAATGGAAAATAATCGACATTTCATGATATCAGGATTCCAATCTAATGTTTGAGTTAAAATCAAATTTGGCTATTAAATTAAAAAAATAGTAATGTAGCCTATTTTTATGATAAATTGAAATATAAAAACGAGTAATTTTTTGGCGATAGAGACATATTACGATACATATTAATATACATTAATAATCGATAGTAGTGATAAATGAAAAAAAAAAAATTAAGCATTTCTGACGGGTACAAATAGGCTATAAGAGATAATTTTTTGAAAAATAAGACATATGGATTTGAAGTCTCAATGCACACCCACAAAATATAATTACTTTTAATGTATGTATACTATGTTATATTAGGAAATTATTTTTAAGTGATATTATAAAGAACACTATATCATTCTCAAAATGAAAATTTTTTCATTTCCATTCTGTATAATATACTTTAATAATATACAGAATGTAAGAATAAAGAATCATGTATTGTTCTTTATTTTATTTTCAGGTAATCTAAAATGTATTTATTTTTGTTATTAATGAAAAAAAGGATCGAAACATTTTCATGCATTTAAATGCCAACTCACTTTTATACAATACATTTAATGTTAGGAAGAATATTATTTTTTTTTCATTAATGCAATCTTGTTTCAATGTTGCGGTTTCCAGTTTTGCAAGGACGTGTGACTGACTTTTGAAAATTAATTTGTGTTATTTTAATAATTTTGCTTACATTTTTATATTTTTTAGTACAGTGTGTGTGTGTGTCATAATATATGCATATAATTTTCAGATAATTCTAATAACAAATTTGTGATACTTGTTTAATTAATAACTTTTAGTACATGTGTTTTTATTATAAATGAAGTTCCTGTAGGTATATAGTACACTGTTCTCTTTAAAAATATGTATGTCAGGAGCAGAGTCGTAACATTGAAACAACAAACTGCCCTTGACACCAAATATGAACAATACCAAAAAAGAAGAAGGTTTTTATAACATTATAGAAGAAAATAGATAAATTTAATAATTATCAGTAGAACAAATCACAATGACTAGATATTAATTGTTATATTGTTTTTTAAAACTATGGCCATTACATACAAAATGTAATATATTGATACTCCCATGTAAGACCATGTTGTATTTTTTTGTTCTTGTTTATGACAAATCATACAGAACATAAATTATGTTTAATGTCATTTCAAAAAAATGTAATACCATTTTAGATAATTATAGATGTATGTGTACATGACTTTATCATTGTGTCTTAAAATGTAATTTGTACATATATCATTGTTGTGTCACCTTTCTGCTTTGGTTACTTTTGATGTAAAAAGAATGAAAAAAGAAAAATTTGAAAAATATTAAAAATTTAGAAATAACATAAGAAACCAATAGAAATTAAAATATAATATACATATCATTTTGTTTTGTTAATTTCAATAATCTTAAAAACAATATATAGGTATTATATATTTTTATATAATTTTCCAATTCATAAATATACTTCAAATATGATATAACATGATAAATATTATCAACAACAAATATTGTTTTATTCTAATTCGAAAAGTGACTTTTTGTTTATTTGACTATTTGTCTATTTTTATGAAAAGGTCTAACATGAAGCACCTCTATGCATAGATACTATGTTTATCAAATTTAAGTAAATAACTCAATTAATGTATATCATCAATTGATTGAAGTGCTAATTCAGGTTTATCATAACCAAGTTCTTCTGGTGTATTAATACCTAATTCATCTAAAGTAGGTTTGATTTCTTGTAATATGTAAGGATAAATTTCTTTAATCTTAGATCCACATTTATCCTTTACCATCTCCAAAATCCTGATAGCAAGAGCAAAATCATTTAATCGTCTGCAAGCCCTTAATGCTGCACATATAATACTTGGATCAGGTACAAGATCCATAGCTGAAAAAACAATTTTCATTATTATTATATGGATTGTTACAATATTAGCTGTTTCAATTAATTATTTAAATAAATAAGAAAACAAAAGCTATTCGAAAAAATTTTTTAAAATAGAACGTCACTGTTCGATTTAAATTATTTAAAAGATAACTCAAATTATCAAAGAATAATAGATCGTAAAAAGAAATATGATTACATAATTACTAACCCGCTAATTTATTCATAGCTTGACGAAATTCCCAATGATCAAGATTTGTACGATTCAGATAGGTCACATACTGTTTGTTAAATTCTTCTTCAGTTTCTTGCGGTCCATCATGTGAAGCACGAATATTTTGTCTTATAACCGTATTATATGGAATTAAAGAATTTCTTACGGTGTTATTTATTTGTTTTCCTACAAAGCGTAACATTTTTTATAAAATTTTATTGAAAATTCAAAAAACCTGATAAGAGCGTACGACTACTGCTTGCGTAACTTCAATAGAAGACGGAAATTTGCTTTGAATAATTTTAACATTTCTACCAATTTAGTCTAAGCTATTGAACTAGTAAATTACTATAATTTTTAATTTTTCAATTATTATATATAAAATATTTTTTTATCGTTTTTATGTTTTGCATATTTAATTCTTAGATATTAATTTTAATAAAATAAACATATAATTTGTTATTAAATTATTTTTTAAATTATGTTAAGTTTTGAAAAAATAACTAGATAAAATTTTAAAAAATATGAAAGAAAATTGTATAATTATTTAACATTATTATTATTTTTTAATTATAAATTAAATTAAAAATTTATAAATTTATGATTATAATATTATGATATATTACGTAATGTATATATATATATATATATATATATA